AGAAAAAAGCCGGAAGTGGCGCTGTGGCTCAAGTGGTAGAGTGCTAGCCTTGAGCTGAAGAGCTGAGGGACAGTGCCCAGGCCCAGAGTTCAGGCCCTACGACCGGACCCCCCCCCAAAAAAAAGTGAGTCTCCCAACTCAGTGAATAAGCTGGGAGTGATGATGAGCACCCGCGGTTGCTCCAACTATTGGTGGATAAGTAAAGAGGAAGATCACAGTCTGAGGGCAGTTCTAGAAAAAACAGACCTTATCTGAAAAGTACAGTAACTAAAGCAAAATGGACTGGAAATATAACTCTAGAGGTAGAGTGCTTGCCTACCAAGGCCCAGAATTCAATCCTCAATACCAGAAAACAACAACAAAACAAAAACAGGTAAGCTCAATCTACAATAGCTAAAATAATTTGAAAAATTAGAATAAAACGTGAAGAATGTTAATGCCTTCCTAAAGTTAGGTCAGAAAAGAAAGGGTGGTCTTTTTAATAAATGATGCTATGTGCAAAAAACCCAAAAAACAAGAAACTTGATATACCATTACACCTTATAAAAAAGTTAGCTCAAAATAGATCAAGAGCCAGGCGCCAGTGGCTCACGCCTGTAATCTAGCTACTCAGGAGGCTGAGATCTGAGGATCAAGGTTCAAAGACAGCCCATGTAGGAAAGTCCGTGAGACTCTTATCTCCAATAAACTACTAGAAAACCGGAAGTGGAGCTGTGACTCAAGCGGTAGAGCACTTGCCTTGAGCTGAAGAGTTGAGGGATAGCGCCCAAGCCCCATGACAGGGAAAAAAAAAAAGATCAAGACTTCCTCAGATTAAGTGAAAAATTCTAAGACTTATTACAAAACCTAGTATATGAGGGAAATTTTATATACTGCACCTATAAAAATATAATAATTGTTCTACATAAAGACTGTGAGAAGTTAAAAATATGTGTAATACATTAGGAAAATAGATTTGGAAGCTATGTATTTGCCAAAGTACTAGTAATTTAAAAATTCTTATAAATTAGAAATCACTAATACTACATTTATAAAATGGTCAAGAGATCTTGGTGCTAGTGGTGACACATGCCTATAATTTTAGTTAAACAGGAGAAATCTAAGGACAGAGGTTCAAAGCCAACTGCAGTAGACATCCTCAAAATTTTTTTATTTTTTTTTGGGGGGTCCGGTCGTGGGGCCTGAACTCTGGGCCTGGGCACTGTCCCTCAGCTCTTCAGCTCAAGGCTAGCGCTCTACCACTTGAGCCACAGTGCCACTTCTGGCTTTTTTCTTTCTACTTATGTGGTGCTGAGGAATAGAACTCAGGGACTCATGCATGCAAGGCAAGCGCTCTACCACTGAGCCACCTTCCCAGCCCCTCCTCAAAACTTTTTATCTCCAATTAACTGGCAAAAAGCTAGAAGTGGAGGGATAGCTCAAGAGTTATAGAGCTACCCATGAGTGAAAAAGCTAAGCAAGAGCTTGGCTCTGAGTTCCTGCCCAGGCCCTGAATTTAAGCCCCAGTACCAACACACACACACACACACACACACACACACACACACACACACGTAAAAAAGTTAAAAGGGCAAAAAACATCAACATACATTTCACCAAAAAAGGATATACAGATGACAAATGTTCAATATCACTAGCCAATAGGGAAATAAAAACTAAAAAGGACAAGGTATCACTGCTATCAAAATGGCCATAATTTTTTTGTTGTTGTTACAGTCCTGGAGCTTGAACTCACGGCCCAGGTTCTGTCCCTGAACTTTTCTGCTCAAGGCTGGTGCTCTACCACTTGAACCACAGCTCCACTTCCAGTTTTCTGGTGATTAACTGGAAATAAAAGTCTCATGAACTTTCCTGCCCAGGCTGGCTTTAAACTGCAATCTTTAGGCCTCAGCCTCCTAAGTAGCTAGGATTATAGGCATGAACCACTGGCACCTGGCAGAGAATGATTATAAAATAATAAAAAAAATAGTAACACTACAAAATTGTTTGTAAAGATGCAGAGAAATCAGCTCATGTATACATTGTAGAAGGGAATGTAAAATTGTGCAGGTACTCTGGAAAATAATATTGAATTCTTGGGCTTTGTCACAGTGAAATGAAAACTTAACATTTATCAGAAAACCTGTACACAAATGTGCATAGAACCTTTATTTATAATAGCCCAAACTAGAAATAACCCAAATATTCTTCTATAGTGAATGTTTAAAGAAACTTTGAAACATCCATACTATGGAACATTAGTCTGCAGTAAAAAGGAATAAACAATTAATGCATGCAGTAAGGTGGATAGATCCTAAGAGAACCATGCTTAGCCAATTTCAAAATGTTATATGTTACTAAAATCATATGTATTATAAAGACAAAAAGATTAGTTATTGTTTAAAGAGCAGAAAGGAATAGGAAGGATTCTAAAGGTATATCATGAATGAACCTTGCAGTATGCACATCAATTGCGCAGCAGTTATATCAAGCTAAATATGTGGTAAAGTCACATAAAACCATATGCACATGCATCTGTCTACATATATTACACTAATGCAAGACTAACTGGAATCTGAATTAAGTCTGGATTATACTAATATTTCTTCTATATACAAAAGGATAGCTTAGATATTTGGAGGACAATTGCTCAGTGATGAACTGTAGCTGATTAATGTTGTCCAGATGCAGCTCTTGTTCTCATCTTGGGCTGCCTTGCCTAAGTTGCTGGAGATGTGCAGGTGCCTAAGCAACAAATTGCCAAGGGCAAACAAAAGGAAAACAACAAAAAAGAAAAGAAGGTTCACTAAAAGCAGAGCTTCTATCTAAAGGATAAAGAATAATGAGAACTTCATCATCAAGGCTATGACTCATCAAATCAGTAAAATCCATGTCAAGCAGCATCAGGTGAAGATGATGAGAAAGTGAAGAAAGACGACAAGAACAACAAATTGTAGAAGTTAAATGAGCTGTTTAAACATGCCTTGCTTCTGAAAAAATAAGTAAAAGAACAAATCTCAAACCAATGGTATGAATAGTCTTCAAGTAAAGACAGCATTAAAAAAAAGTTGCTTAAAACATGAGTCTTAGAAAACTGAGAGCCAGTGGCTCATGCCTGTAATCCTAACTACTTAAGAGGCTGAGATCTGATGATCTCAGATAGAAGGTAGCCTGGGCAGGAAAGTCTGTGAGATTATCTCCATTTAGCTCCCCCCCCACACACACCGCCCCCCAAAAAAGCTGGAAGTAGAGGTATGGCTCAAATGGTAGAGCTCTAGCCTTGAGCAAAAAAGCTTAGGGACAGCACCCAATCCCTGAGTTCACACACACACACACACGCACACACACGCACACACACACACACACACACACACCACCA